CACACACACACACACTCTCACACACACACACTCACACACACACTCACTCACACACACACACACACACACTCACACACACTGACTCTCTCTCTCTCCATCTCATGTGTGTGTTTGTACTGTGACTACAAAACATGTGAAAAGACCTCATTTCTGGATCATTTACACATCACATGTCATAAATGCTCCATGACCTATTAATAAACATGAACCATATGCAAATTCACAGAAGCAGTTTGCCTAAATCTCTGCAACGATGCTGAATACCTGAATACCAGCACTGATCCATGACCGCAACAGAGCTGAAACAGTTAGAGATATCAGTGTTATTCATGTCAGCCAGTTCTCCAGTTCTTGTGTAGCTCTTCGCTTCTCTGCTTGTTTCTGAGGAAGCTAAACAAAAGCCCCGGGCGTCTGACTGCAGGCCATGACAATAGAGCCCTAACTGCATCTGATCTGCTCAATTAACGCCTTTCCCTCGTTTCTCAGTAATTCCACTCCGAGCTTATCTAGAATTATCTCAGCTGGCTGAGTGGGTGGACAAATAAGGTGAACTCCAGTCCTCACGTGTCGAGAGCAACCTAAAATTAACCCAGCGAACAGCTGAGCGCCCGAGTGTGTGTGTGTGTGTGTGTGTGTGTGTGTGTGTGTGTGTGTGAGGCAGCTCAAGCATCTTTGTCTGTGACAATACCAGGATGACACGATTCTCTTACGCAGAATATATCGCATTATTTCGATCAAGCGACACAAAACGAAACTCGCCTACACTCCCATCATCATCATCATCATCATCATCTGGAGGAGCTGCGAACCGAGACGAGACAGACCCGTCACAGTGAGTGTGTGAGTGTGTGTGTGTGTGTGTGTGTGTTTATGATCGCTGTTAGTTCATTAACAGAATAAATCTCAAGTAACCTGGGTTGAGTTTATGGCAGGTGTGTGATTTGTGCCTGCGTGATCTTCAGCTGTCATTGCATCGGAGGAAAGACTCGTCTATTGGAGAGACCGGGGCTAGTTGTCACACACTTCTCCAGTCAGTCTTTGTGGGTTGAGTTTGAAATGTCTCTGTAAACACACACTGTATAGACACACAAAGACACGGCGACCGCTATAGCGGGTCATTTGTGCGATGGGGCAAGTTGTCACAATGGACCTGCCATTAAAATCCATATTACCGGCTTTTTGGGCAAATGTAACGATTATGAAACACAATTAATCAAATGAATTATATATTTTTAAAAAATTATATATAATGTGTGTGTGTATATATATATATATATATA